TTTAACATTTAGGTCCCCTAATTCTAAAGCACTAACTTTAACATTTAGGTCCCCTAATTCTAAAGCACTAACTTTAACATTTAGGTCCCCTAATTCTAAAGCACTAACTTTAACATTTAGGTCCCCTAATTCTAAAGCACTAACTTTAACATTTAGGTCCCCTAATTCTAAAGCACTAACTTTAACATTTAGGTCCCCTAATTCTAAAGCACTAACTTTAACATTTAGGTCCCCTAATTCTAAAGCACTAACTTTAACATTTAGGTCCCCTAATTCTAAAGCACTAACTTTAACATTTAGGTCCCCTAATTTTAAAGCACTAACTTTAACATTTAGGTCCCCTAATTCTAAAGCACTAACTTTAACATTTAGGTCCCCTAATTCTAAAGCACTAACTCACTTGAAATTTTAACAAAAGCCAATTGTAAAGCACTAACTCACTTAAAATAAAAAATGCCAATTGTAAAGCACTAAAAACCCAGCTGACTCATGGAACAATCTTCAGAGTCAACATAAGACAATATTTACTGTGTGCAGAATATTGTTTATATTGTTACATTAATTAGTGTTAATATTGTTAATATTTCATCTGGCGTAGTGGTTCCAAAGTAGGGGTCGGGACCTCTTTGTGGGTCACAAAACATCAAGTGAGGGTCCCCAGATGATTTTCAGACATCAAATTAAATGCAATAAACAAATAAATAAATAAAAAGCTAATGGAATACTTTCATCATGATTGCATTTTTTTTAAATAATCATAAATGAATACAAATTGGTATCATAGTTACTGTTTGTTTATAGTTATTCCCTTGTTTAACAAAGTTATTAGCAAAGTTTGCTACATGAACACTGGGGTCCCGAGGGTCTGCAGCTGTTATTTTGTGGGTGGGCTCTAGTGAAGTGACACACGACAGCTTTCACCCTCAGCTGTCGATCAGTAAAAAACTCAATTAGTGCTTATAAATTTAGCAAGTGCTAATCCACTAATGAATTAAGAAATTAGCAAAAGCCCTAAAGCACTAATCAGGAAATTAGTGCTTTAGGGGAACTGTGCCCTCCACTGGTTAGACTTAGGTTTCCTGAGTTATTAAAGTTTGTTCTGCTGGAGGACTAACTGTCCACATGTCCTCAGAGACACCTTCCTCAGACACTTCATTTTGTTACAGTGTGATTGTGTTTGTTGTGTTGTGTTTGACTGAAGCGTGGTTTTGTGGGAAACCTTCACCTGAAGCGTTTGTGTTGAAGTAAACTATATCCTGCTCCAACATGAAAACTCACCAGGCTGAGCTGTTGTGAACATTTATTTAAATTTTTACACTAAAGTACCCAATTTAACTAAAACAGGTAATTCAAATAAAAAAACACACACCCTCACAATGGTCTTCATCATCATGGCGACAGAACGGCACAGGACAGGAAGTGAAGCCAATTATCAGCGAGCAGGACCAACGTTAACCCTAACATCTCCTGATGAAGGCTAAAGTGACAGGACTACTCACCACTTCCTGTTCTGACTCACCACTTCCTGTTCTGACTCACCACTTCCTGTCCTGTGCTCTGACATAAAAAAAAAACTGGACTGTTTTGAATCATTTGAGTGCTGAATTACAAAAAAAAGGGCACAGTTTTATAAAAGTATTGCATCAAATCCAAACACTGGGATGAAGATCTTGTCTTCATCAAACAGGAAGTAGAAACAGACGAGTGTAAAATATAAAAACAACAACAAAAGACTCCAAACTTTAAACATTATTCACATTTTGGCTGCAATATTAAAAACACAGTCCTGTGTGAAGGAAACCATGTCAAAGAAGAGAAAAAACAACTTTTTAAAGACAAACATCCCTTTCATCCCCAGATTTACAACAAAGGTTTACGAGGACCTGGAACTGGTTTTTGTTTCAGAACTGGTCTGGGTCCGTTTGGGCTGAAAGTTTGTCGCTCACCGCTCACAGCCAGCAGTTTTAACAGTAACATCGTCTTGTTTTTTTTTTTTTAATGGAAAAGACTCTAAATTAAAAGTAAAAATTAAAAATACCCACCCTGACCACAAACCACGCAGGTTCTGTGGTCCGTACCCGTCCTCCGGGTCCGAAATATTCTATTAAACACGACATAACAGAGGTGGACCTTCATTAAAACTGAGAGAAAAGCATCAAATTAATTATTTTAAATTAAAGGTTTGAATTAAAAAGTTATATATAAATACTTTGATTAAAAACTTATTTGAACCAAATGTATGGAAAGACACTTGTGCCTTCAGAAACTGATTTTACATTTTTCACTGAATCTAATTCAATTATATATGTTGGTTTAAAAAATGAATTTCAGTTAATTCAAAGCTTTGAATCTGAATTAATTTGCTTTAACACTATATTTTTTTGTATTAACTTGACTACTTTCAGTTCTATTATTCATTTTTTTCTGTCCTACATCCTGGTCTTTGAGAAAAACAGAGTAATCAGAGTTGTTGCTTATTTTTAGCTTTAAGCTGTGGCGGCCATCTTGAATTCATTGTGAATGTGCAGTGATTATTTTCTGACAGTTACTGTACATGATCGCCCTGTGGAATTCATCTTGTGCCAGCAGGAACTGAATTTGAATTGATCAGATTGAATCTGAATGTGCAGAATTTGAAATTGAATGCATTGGTTTGAAAATAAATTTTACTAAATTTAAAGTTTTGTATCTGAATTAATTTACTTTGAAACTGTATTTTGGTTTAATAAAAGTTCAGTTTGACTACTTTCACTTTCAGTTCCATAATTCAGATTTTTGTGTCACATCCTGGTCCTTGAGAAAGCCAGGCAGAGTAATCAAACACAGATCCACAGATTTATGTTTCACTTTGGTGAAGCTTTCTTCTGTAACTGTGAAAATCCTGTAAGGATGAGATGTAAATGTAACATTGTCTATAAGTAAAATTAATCACTGCAATAAATGAATACTTTATTGATCCCAAGGGGAAATTACAGAAACTAACTTTGTGTGTTTTTGTCACTTTTACAGTGGATTGCATCAACTCTGTTACATCCAGAAGGGAAACTTCACCAAAGTGAAACATAAATCTGTGGATCTGTGTTTGATTACTCTGCCTGGCTTTCTCAAGGACCAGGATGTGACACAAAAATCTGAATTATGGAACTGAAAGTGAAAGTAGTCAAACTGAAGTTTTAATCAACCAAAACACAGTTTAAAAGTAAATTAATTCTAAATCAAACCATTAAATTCATTTTCAAATTCTGCACATTCAGATTCAATCTGAGCAATTCAAATTCAGTTCCTGCTGGCACAAGATTGATCCCGTATCTCCCACCCTCCACGGTGGCGAGCCATAACTACAGAGAATATTCACTCAGTGAAATAATCTGTTTTATGAAGTAAAATAAAGATTTATATATCTGTAAAAACAACAAACTTTTATTTTTGATTTTTAGCTCGATGCTTTTCTCTCACTTATGGCTTCTGTAAACAACAAGSATTGGTTAACGAGGTCACATGACTGCTGCGAGGAGGAACCTGCAGGTGCCGCTCACCTGCCGACAGGTGAGGGGCCCTACGTGGAGACATGAGGTGTTCCTCTACGCTGATCACACTGAAGGAGGCCAGACAGTCCTGTAAAAACCACGCTGGTTTGATTCCCAGAGATTACGCCACAAACATTTACTCTTTCACATAAAAGTAAAATGAAATAGTTTTGCATTTTTAACAAACGGAAGTTTTTATTTTATTTTAAGAAATGTCTGAGTAATTTATTTAGCTGCTTCTGTTCGTTTCTTATTTTAAATAATGACAAACAGTAGGTGGAATTAAATACAATTGTTAATTAAAAAATTAAAAATGATAAATGCTCTGCATTTTATTAAACAACAAAATGACWAATTTCTTTTTAGGACAATAAAATTATTTATTTGATATTTTAATTTAAATAATTGCTTTGTTGTCTTTAGCATTTGTCACTAAAGGGTTTCCATACTCAGTAGCAGCTCTAAACTATAAAAGCTCTAAACAATAAAAATCTACACGTTTAAAGACTTCAGAACGCTCCGAATCAAACATTTGTTTTAATCTTAAATTAAACCTGAGTTTTCTGGGTTCAGGTGGTTTTTACCGACGGCTTCAGGCTCCGTTTGGAAACCCAAAAACAGACAGAACATTTCAAATAAAACACATTTCTGTTAAATATCATCAGCTCTGTACATCTGAGGTATTCAGGTCTGTGTGAAAGACTTCACAGATGAGGTATGTGAACACGTGCCAAAGGTTCAAAATAAAAAAAGTGCAACGAACCGGATAAAACCCCAGAAGTTCGGCTGTTTGAAGAGGAGCTGTCGGTAAACAGAGGTTTTTGACGCAGATCAACTTTTCATGAAAATCATGATTTTCCTTCTGGGAACAAATCAAAGAGTTCTTCAGGCCGACGAGTTCTAATATTACTGTTAAAAACATTTCTGAAGCAGAAAATACAAAATGTTTCATTATTTTCTGTCAGATTGTTCCTCCTCCAGAGAAAAAACTGGAATGATTCAATGAGGAGAGTCGGCCATCTTTACTCAGTCTGAGTGAAAACGATTTGTTCCCTGAAATTTATTTCAACGAATCTTTTAGGACAGCAGCGCGACGTTCACAGCAGCTCCGAGCTCGTTTTAGGCTTTGTACGGTGGGATTAATTCATTTATGCAACTTGTAATATAAAATTATAAATTTAATTTTGAAGGATTATTTTTAAAAACTTTTGGCAGTGACAGCCTTCCATACAGGCAACATGCCACGACTTAATAAATACAATAAAGTGATCCACCATTACTGGTAACATTAGACACTAAATACTCAAAACATCATTTACCCAGAATGCTTTGCGGTGTTAATAAAATGTGCTGTACGTGTGACGATGTATATTTTTATTTATTAAAACTAAACATCTAAATAAATGTTTATTAAGTAATGTTTAATGTTAGAAGTAATCATGGATCCCTTTAAGTTTAGATTTATTCTTTCAGATAATCTGATTTCAGAAATCTAAATAAATTCAGTTTAATCTTTCTTTTTATTTAGAAAAGCTCATTTTCTCAATGAGGAGCATCGATCATCATCATCATCATCATCACTGAGTCCTGACCTGAAAACTGAGCTGAACTATCTCAACTTTAAAGGATAATTAACTCAGAATCTGAAGAAAAACTGCTTCAAACTTCCAGAATTAAACATTTTATCTTCTGTAGAATCCTTACTTCTTCACATGTGAAAGTTTTTACACAGCAGGAGAATAAAAACTAATAAATCCTGTTTTAGTTTCAGATCTTTGCTTTAATCATGTTAAATATTTTAGTTTTATATCCTGCAGGAWATCACCTGGCAGATAAAACGTTTCTCTCAGTGAGCTTTGAATGTATGGAAGTCCACTGCTGCCAATAACTGCAAAAACTATTTTATTTATTTTCTGATTAGTGTAAACTCTAAAACGGCTCGTTGCTGCGAGGTCAGCTCTAACCGGGTTCTGGTTGAACTTCTTTAGACTCTCCGGCAGAAATGAGTTTCTGCAGTAACACGTCCTCCAGCTGAAGGAAACTAATTTATTAAAAACACGAAATCTTTGAACAGAAACGGCAGAAAAAAATCAAACTGAGCTGAAATTCACATTCAGACCAGCGATGCCACTGATGAACGACCAGTTCCTCCTTTTCCACACCAGGCGTCCCCGAAGCGTCTCCACAGAAATGGACCGGACCAGAATCCAGAACAGCGCCGAGGAAGAGGAGGGAAAAAAAAAAAGAGCACTTTAAAAACCAAACGGGTCACTTCCTGTGTGATGCTGTACAACACAAGAACCAGAACCACCAGGAGCAACGAACCCCCGACAAGTCTCAGAACTCGTTTCCTGTCCGAGCAGAAGAGGAAGAGGAAGATGAGGAACTCCTCTTCATCAGAAGGTTCTGGTCCAGCTGGTTCCTCGGTCAGATTCTGGTCCAATCACAGAAAGTCTCGTCTGTAAAAGTTTGTCAGACGTAAGATTTTCTTCTTTTTTGTTTCCTTTAAAAGATACTCAAACTTTCAAAGTAAAGGAAAGTTTTTCAAAATAAAACGAAGAAATTCTTCATTTTTCTGGTTTGAATTGAATTTTTCTTTAAAGTTTCAGTTTGTTTCTTTCAGTGAAAACTGTAAAAGTTCTGGTTCTGCTCAGGAACCTGTCTCCACAGATCTGGACCTCAGGTTCTGATCCTCTGAGTCCAGTCGGGTTCATTTCAGAACCTTGAAAATGTTTGATTTTAAGTTAGAATTCATAAAAACTCATCGGTAAAAAAACAAAAAACTTTGGCTGAAGTTTTTGTGTTTTCAGGGTTTTTGTGCGGATCCAGTTTCCACTCCAGAACCAGAACTTTGATCTGGTTCTGAGTGCTGACAGGCTCATGAAATGAGCTGTTTCTTCTTCTGTTGCATAAAATGACACTTCCTGCAGCCTTTCAGAGTAAAAGCCTCGGTGTACCGTCGGCCCCTCCTCAGCTGTTTGGAGATCAGGACCGGTTCTCGGGGGATCAGGACCGGTTGTCGGGGTGCTGAGTCCGGATGTGGCTGTGAAGACGGGTGTTTGAGGAGAACCTCTTGCCGCACTCGGAGCAGCACAGTGGTGCGGCGGCGCCGGTGGGCGGGGACGAGGGCGACGACGTGTCAGCGGCACCGGACTCTCCTGTGGAGTGGGTCTGCCGGTGAGCCTTCAGGAGAGACATCCTGCTGAACCTCCGACCGCACTCCTCACACTCAGACCACACCCGCCGCCGCTTCTTCTGCCAGACACAAGACACCGCAGCGTCAGAACCACAGAACTGGACCAGAACCACAGAACTGGACCAGAACCATTGAACCGGGCCAGAACCCTGCTCAGGTCATTTCTGACGGCTGCTTCTGAATTTAAAAGCCTCACCTTCCTCCCCTTGTCTCCTTCCTCCTCCTCTTCTTCCTCCTCCTCCTCCTCCTCGTCCTCCCTCCCGCTCCGACCCGGTGGGTCCAGCTCGTCCCGCTGGTCACTGCTGCCGTTAGTGGCCAGTGCAGCCAGCGTCTCCCGGGCTGCGGCGGCAGCTTCGTCCTCGTCTTCATCCAGCAGCTGCGACGGCAGCGTGAGCAGGCGATGAAGCATCGAGGCGGAGGAGCGGCGACCTGAGGGGGGAGGGGAGGGGGGGTCAGAGGTCAGGGGTCAGGAGATCCAGAACTAAGACCCGAGTCGCAGACGAGACTGAATTATTTATGAGTCGATCACAGGATCAAAGATGAAAAGCTTTTTATTTTAATTTTAGAGCAGATATAGAGACGGCCACCAGAGGGCGACAAACTGAAGAACTCCAAGGAGGTTCTGTAGAACTGGAGCTCAGAGACCAGGTGACCATGTSACCGCTGCTGAAGCTAACGGCTAACGCTAAACAGTCAAGACTGGATTTATCATCACTGTACATGTTGACAGAGCAGAGAAAAGGACTGACCATGTAGAAATCATTAAAACTATTAATAATAATATTAACACAATTATTATTAATATTTTACAGTTTATATAATCTATCTAATGTTTTAAATAATGTCAGAAAAGCTGTTTGTGTTMTGGATTTATTAACAGAAGATAAACAGGAAAACGTCTCATTTTACAACAAGTCAGCATATTTGATCTCATTTAGCTCAATGTGATCTGAACAGAACATAATGTAACAGTTTAAAATTAAAATAATCTTATAAAGTCCATGTAATCACTGTTATTTAATGAACTGTTAGCAGATATTAGCTTGTGGAGCATAAATACAAGTTTAGCTCTGTTGAGTCATGTTACAATTTAACACAAACTATTAAATATTACATTGTATTTGTCCTCTCAAAGGTTCATTTTAATTTTTCAAAGATTATTTTGAATATTTCAAAGATTATTTTGGTTCTGGTTCGGTCTGACCCACCTGTGCAGGTGAGGTTTAAGGAGGATCACCTGTGTGGCTGCAGGGCAGCGTCTGATTGGTTGATTTTATCATTTGATCTGAAATGTTCAGGTGCTTATTCCTCACCTGAGGGGCTGAGGGGGGGTCCAGGTGAGGGTCCCGGTGGGGGTGGTGCCGCGGCGTCTGCAGGATCTTCATCGTCAGGAGAAAACACCTCCATGTCCTCCAGAGGAGTCCAACGAGGGTCCTGCTGGGGGGAGGAGGGGGCGGGCTGAAGGATGACTGAGGGGGCGGAGACCAGGTCAACGTGGTGTCCGCCCACCTCACTCAGGCCCCGCCCACTGCTGCAGACCCCCTCCTTGACCTGCCAGACGTCACTGCACCACTTCTGACCAAAGACCTTGTCCAGGATCGGAACCCAGTCCTGTGAGACGGAGAGGACAGGGGGACGCTCTGGTTCTGATGGGGAGGACGGTGGGAGGACAGAAGGACAGAGGGACAGAAGGATATATTAGTATAATGAGTATTTGCTTCATAATCAGGTTTTCTTTGGGATCTAAAGGACAAACGGAGGTTTTACAACTGGATCAGAACCAAAGGATCCAGACACAGACCCAGACCCAGACTCACCAGATGGCGGTGCCGTCTCTTTGGACTCCTCTGCCGGCTCCTCGCGGGTGTCCTCAGACGAGCCGCTCGGAGACACGGAGTCGTTCTCGGAGCCCCGCCTCCTTCTACTGACTCCACCCCTCCCCTTGTCCCCGCCCCCCAGGCGCTCCTGGCTCCGGTCCAGCAGCTCCATCAGCGCCGCCTGCTCCTTCTCCATCTTGGTGATCTCCAGCAGGAGGTCATCGAACGACGCCTCCACGATCTTGGTCAGCTCGCGCAGCGCGAAGTCCAGAACCCGCTCCATGACTGTCTTCAGCTGGTCTGCAGGACACCGTGGACAGAGACGGGTCGGGTGAGAACCTTAAACATTCTGTTGGAACTGATAAACTTTCAGCCATGACCAGAATCACAGGACCCAAAGACCCGATCCAACTAAGTCCCAGCTTCATCTGAGACTGATGTGGATCCACCAGGGTGGACCTGAAACCTCCTGACCCGTCTGGACCCGACATGAAGGTCAGATGTCACCATTTCAGACAATTTAAAGGAAAATGAAAAACATCACAAAGTTTAAATGTCAACCATGAACCACCTGGTCTACAGAGACCAGAGGTCTACAGGGACCAGGGTTCTACAGGGACCAGAGGTCCACAGAGACCAGGGTTCTACAGGGACCAGAGGTCCACAGAGACCAGGGTTCAACAGAAACCAGGGTTCTACAGAAACCAGAGGTCCACAGAGACCAGGGTTCTACAGGGACCAGAGGTCTAGAGGGACCAGGGTTCTACAGAAACCAGAGGTCTACAGGGACCAGAGGTCCACAGGGACCAGAGGTCCACAGAGACCAGGGTTCTACAGAAACCAGAGGTCTACAGGGACCAGAGGTCAACAGAGACCAGGGTTCTACAGAAACCAGAGGTCTACAGGGACCAGAGGTCCACAGAGACCAGAGGTCCACAGGGACCAGAGGACCACAGAGACCAGAGGTCCACAGGGACCAGGGTTCTACAGAAACCAGAGGTCTACAGGGACCAGAGGTTCACAGAGACCAGAGGTCCACAGGAACCAGAGGTCCACAGAGACCAGAGGTCTACAGGGACCAGAGGTCCACAGGGACCAGAGGTCCACAGGGACCAGAGGTTCACAGAGACCAGAGGTTCACAGAGACCAGAGGTCCACAGGAACCAGAGGTCCACAGAGACCAGAGGTCCACAGGAACCAGAGGTCCACAGAGACCAGAGGTCTACAGGGACCAGAGGTCCACAGAGACCAGAGGTCTACAGGGACCAGAGGTCCACAGAGACCAGGGTTCAACAGGGACCAGAGGTCCACAGAGACCAGAGGTCTACAGGGACCAGAGGTCCACAGAGACCAGGGTCTACAGGGACCAGAGGTCCACAGAGACCAGG